GCAGACACCTGTCTTCTAGAACCGAGACACCTATGCTACAAAAGTAAGGAGGAGTTCATGACAACTGACAATATCTTCTTTCAGAGTGGTCCCCATCTGCATGACCACACTGCTTGAAATGTGGACATGGCTTGTATTTTCCTACTACATAAAAGTGTGCATTGATCAGGGAAGGATGCAATGCAATAAACACAACAGTGTATGCCCCTAAATTAAACATCCTTTCTTACTGTTGCACTGCAGCTTTATCTGGGGTGGCTAAATACACTACTGCACAAAAGGATGTAAAACAGAGAGTATGGCTTCATTGGGATTTACTTCTAACCTTTCCTAAGGAATTGTTGCAGAATTTCTTCTAGAGAAAAGAATCTTATCACACACACAAAATAAATGGCTGAGAAATTCAGATAAGTTTACTGTAACTGTCTCCTCATTATTCATCCTGTGGTTATTCTGCAATGCAATTGCAAGCACTAAGTCATCACTGCATGCTGATCACAAAAGTGACAGGGGAGGTGAATGGGAATATGGATTCTGACCTGACTTTTGTGCCTCTGAATATCAAGAGAAATTTAATATCCACCAACCCAAACCTTGAGTCCCATATGGTAGAATAAGCATGCAAAAACACAACTTAGTGCATTACCTTTTATTCTGCTGCCTATGGAAAAGCTGTTGCATTATAATTATAAAGTATCTGATGTGCACTATTTGCAATGCCAGTAATGCTAAAAGTGTAATACTGGACTTCTGCTACAAGAGGAAGAGATAATATTTCAAGAGGCAGACATTTTGATGAAAGTATGTATAGATGATTATAATAAGAAACATAGAAAATATTCAAATTTAAGCTCTAAGAGCAATTCTGTAATTTAAGTGTTCTGTGCACATTAGTCATAAGCAACTACGGGGACGCCTGGTACCTTTGCTTGAACCACCAAAGAAAACATTGAAGGATATTGAAGTCTGCAATGACAACAGATTGAAGTAGCAGTAGTACTTATAAATTCAAAAAGCATCTTTCATTATTTTAGCTGGGCTTTTACAAAAAAAAATAAAATAATTAATACTATTAAATACATTCCATAGGATTAAATCAGAGTTAAATAATGTTAAACAAATGCAAGAATGCCGCATCAGCCTTGCCTGCTCCTGAAACAAAAGCACGTACGAACACAGGACCTTTCCACAATATTGAGTATTTTGTTCAAAGTTGCTATATAGGAATCAGCCAAATTCACTGTAACTTGATAGACTGACATTAAAATGATATGTTAAAAAAAAATAGTTAGAGGGCACCTGACAAATTTACCTCATTCATCCTTCCACCTTGAGTTAAAAATCCAGATTTGTGTAACTGGTCCTAAAGACAACTAGTGATTGAAATGCTACAGCTTTCCCAGGAAGTCTGTTCTAGTGTTTCTCTATCCTCAGTGATAAAACAGGCTGAATTAATTCAGAAGAGATTTCTGGCCACCCACATAAAACATGAAATACTCTTAATGAAAAAAGGAGTTTATATGGTAATACACATTAACAAACATAAATGTTTCATGTTTCTAGTTACTATCTTCAGCATGAAATGCACTCCTTCAAGAACTCTTTGCTATAGAAACTGATTAGCACTCTGAAATTTGAAATGCTTAAATGCATCATTATTTGTATTATACACATTTTTGCTTCTCCAGTAGTCTTCATAAAAGAAATTCTACTCTTATTACCAGATGCCATGAAATAGGATTTATTGAACGTGTTTCTGGTTCACAGAGCTAAACCATTCCTCTAATTCATGTAAAATAAACCATACTATTTGATATAAATGCTATTCATTATTTAAATATCATTAGAATGTATGAGAAAGAGGAAATAATTTCAAGGCATAATTTAGATAGCTTGTTAGAGGTATGAACTGCTGTTGATGACACATTAAAGAAAGAAAAAGGAATTGGTGAAATACTAGGTATGAATATTTAAACTCTGCATAGTTAACTCATTTTCTGTAAAAATAAATTTTATCATTGTAAATTAAATGTAACACCTGGCTGAATTATATTACATATGTGCTATACATATATATATTATCTGTATCTGCCTGTTACTTGAGTGTACAGCTAGAGAATAAAACTATACCAGGAGGGAAACCTAAGGAAGAGGAGAACAGCTAAGAGAGAGGTCCTCCCCACTGTCATAAGAGCTCTAAGCCTATTTCTGAATGAAAGCTCAGGAGTGATTTGGAAGAGAAATAAACAAATTGGGAACTTGCCCTGGCTCCACATGTAAGCAGCTTCTGAGACTCTGGGATCCTGATAGGTAGTATCAGAGCTTTGAATGGCATGGGCAGAAGGTGAAGACAGTGAATCACTGTAGGGGATGAGCTGGTTTGTGTCTCAGGATGCCACGGTCCTTTTCTGACCCAGAAATGTGTTTTCATGGTAGTAGAATGACAGGCATGGGAACAGCCAAAATTTTCAGGAAAATGCCACAGGTTGTTATGCACACTATACTTTTGTTGAGAAGTGGTTTACTCCGTATTTTACTCAAGTATAAACCAACAGTCTTACATTCTAGTAAATGGAAAAAACTTTTAGAGTCTTGATGGTTGGGAGCTTGAACATTTTTGGTCAGTTTCAGTCAAACTGGTTGCAATCAGACTGAGCAGGGAGAGAAAAGTGCACTGCTGGGCATGGCACAAACATCAGTTTCTTAGACGCAGGCAGGGATTTCTTGTGTGGGGTAAAAATTAGTTCTTATGAAGTAGCAGAAGAGCTGGGTTTTAATCTTGAGGGAGGAAGAAGCGCAGCAGAAGGTAGACGAGGAAGAAGGTAGAGCCAATAGTGTTTTCTGAATGTACATGTGGCCTGGCACAAAACCAAGGAGCTGCTGTGGCTAACTGTATCGTAAGCTGCCTTATTGTAGTTGTGGATGGAATCAAGTAAAACCACCTCTGAAGACAGGTGAATTCAGGATCCTCTATATACATTTTCAACACCTATTTTCAATGAATCCATGTAACTACAAAAATAATCTAATATACAAAAATTTTATATGGTATAAAAAAATTATCACAGCTATTCAACAGGGTTAACAACACTGACAGAATCCTGACTGTTAGGCTGAACATGTGATGAAGTTTTTACAAAGGTATTAAGCAGGGTTTTACATTGAATTTTAGTTTTTTTAGAAAAGAATGTCAGGTATTTTACAATGGGAAATTTGAACTTCACTCTCACAGATAGAATGGGCTTTTCTCCTTTTGCTGCTGATGCCTTATAGGGATCACTAAGTTACCAGAGCCACAGCAAAGAGCACAGAAAATGCAGCCTTGATCTGGCCTCTGTGTGGAACGAAATTGCAGTTTCCAATCCATTCCACTGAGACTGAATTACAACTTCCTTACTACACACAACTGATTTTTCCAACATAACTATTAGCAGCCTTAAGATTTTCAACAACTTCTGTAACCTTTCTTCACTCCTAATGCCTTTGAGGGAGTACTCTCCCGGGAAGGAAAAATCTGTACTTACTTCCAAATTTCCTTGCATCCTCCTGTAAAATGTCTGTTATGACTCAGTTCTGGACACAAGATATCAGACCTAATAGACCCAGGGAAAGTTCTGTCATCCTGTGAGCTCTTGCTTGTAATCTAAACTAGGGAAGAGAAGTCACACCAGATTTACCACAAACACTTCCTGGGCCCCCCGTGGGAGAAGTGTGTTTTTGGTCTTACTTGCTCCCTAAGAGCAAACTTCAGGGCTGTGGACAGATCCCTGTCACACAGAATCAGCATGTTTCCAGGGCAGTTCACTCACTTTGAAAGAGGCAAAACAATACTGAGAAAAGCGAATTATAGCAAATAATTTAATTTTCATGTTGCATTATCCACCTCAAAGGTTTGGATTTTTTTGGTTACGTTTTGGGGTTTCGTGGCTAGTCCCCTTTTTTCCTGTACATTTCAGAAAAACCGTCCCAGCAGAAGTTAGGAAAAGAACGGCCGTGCTGAGACCGTGTGGACGAAACAAGACCCTGGGGAGCGGGCCATGGGCGGTGGATCTGACCGCACTCCAGGCGGGTGTGTGCAGGGGCCACGCCGCTTCCCTTCGCCATTCCCGCCTTCTCCTGCGGCTCTGGGACAGGGAGACCGGGAAACACGTCCAGTTGCTCGCTCAAGCCACAATCATACATAGCGGGAGCGACGGAAAAAAAAATAAATTACCAGTGAACAAAACCCCCGATCCTTCTCTGCAAAGGAAGCGTGCTCCTTTTCAGCGGCACAGCGTCGGCGGTCCTTCGCTCTCACTTCCAGACGCCCAACCGGCAACACGGGCACAGCCGACGCGAGCCAGGGAAGGAAGGGACGCCTTCGCCGGCGGAGCTCCCGCCGGGACTCTCCCACCTCCCCTCACCCAGCCGCCTTCCTCCCGGCGCCGAGGCCGCGCCCGGTCCGCCCGCATTGGCCGCGCCGCGCCCGCCCCGCCCCGCCGCGCTGAGGGTGGCGCTGGCCGCGCCTCCGGCCGAGCAGCGCCGCAGCGGATCGGGGCGCGGAGCGGAGTCGCGGAGCGCTCCTGGCTCGGCTAACGTGCCGCGCCGCCGCCGAGCCGTCCGCCTGGCCGAGGCGAGTGAGTCACCGCTTGCATCCCCAGCTGCCTGGCAGGGCAAAGGAGAGACAAAGTAAACGCCGACGAGCCCCTCAGCCGCTGCTCCTGCCTGGTTTTATTTTATTTTATCTTCTGTAATTATTTCGGGGAAAAAAAAAAAAAAAACAGAAAAACACATCGCCGTGTTTTTAGCAATTCGTGCCGCGTGTGCAGTTGTTTCCAGCACACCCCTGATAAACAAAGGAAAAGGGGGAGGGGGCCCGCGTTTCGCAGAAGACATGCGTACCGTCAGGAAGAGGTGGACTGTGTGCACCATAAGTCTCCTCCTCATCTTCTATAAGACGAAGGAAATAACGCGGACCGAGGAGCGCCAGGAGATGCCTCTGGCCGGGTAACTGCGGGGCGCCGCGCTGGGAGGGCGGCCCGAGGGGGCGGCGGGCCGTGTTCCTGCCCGAGGTCCCTTCCGCGTGCCCGCCCGGACTGTCAGGTGCCCCGGTGCTGCTTGGGCTGTGGCCGCAGCCGGCGGTGCCAGCGCGGCTCGGCGCTTTCGCTGGCGGGCGCTGCGGAGGGTGCGGGTGCCGCTGCGGGACGGGCTGAGAGCGGGGCTCGCTGCCGGGGCTCGGCCGCCGTAGGGTGGGTGCGAGTGCATGGGAGAGCACGGGAGCTGCGCTGCTTCTGGGGTCGCCTCTCAGCCTCCGTAACGGGGCGCTCCTGGGAAGTTTCACGTGTCCGCGGCTGCCCGGTGGCCGGGACGGCCCGAGGTGGCGACGGCCGCCGCCGGAGCCCCTGTGCCTCGGTTCCTTGCCTTTCGTGGGCAAGCGTGCTGGGATGCAGGTGAACGCCTGCTGCCGTCTTTGAAGTTTGCCTGGGAGCTTTGCTTAACTTGGCTTTTTCTTAAGGATTCTTGATCTGAGAGAAGTGTGGGTCATCCCCCTGAGCTCTGGAGCTTCCTCCGCTGGAAAGTCTGGTCCCTCGCTGACACCATGTGTTACATGTTTTCCCTTTGCTGCCTGGCGTTTACTCTAAGCGAAAGGCGGAGTGCCTTGCCGTTTTTCTGTTTGCACCTCAGCTCTCTCTTTATGTATGTGATTGCCTGCATTCCCCATTTTTCTGCCAACTTGCAGCTGTTGTCTGGAGAGGTTGGGTTTTCAGTCAAGCTGGTTTTTACTTGGAGGTCTAAAAGATTTTGTTTTCACTGGAGCAACGCGTGAATTGGTCATTCAGTGTAATTAGTAAAAGCTAAATAGAGACTCACGGTTTCTGTTTGCGTGTGCGTGTCCACTGTGGGTAGGATTCTTTCACCGTAGATTTTTGTCCTTGCCTTAATTTAAAGAGGGGGCATGGGGGAGGGGGGTTGTAAGTAGCCGTACAGGCCTGGAGTAAGCTGAGGCAATTACAGCCTACTTGGTTCCGGAGTTAGACAGAAAGCACATCCCTCTTTCCTAACCAGGCTGGTGAGGCATGGGGGACACAGGTAGCTGTGGCCCCGGCATGTGCTGGGAGCCGGGGCTGTCCTCCCCTGTGTGTGTGCAGTATTTGCTTCCTTTGTTATTCAAGATTTTTCATGACTTGCTGGTGTCCCTTCCTCTTGTTCGGCCTGGGTGTAACCAGGTTTTGATTTCTACCGAAAGCTGTCTGTGTTCTTAGGAGATAAACAGAAGTTTAAAATTTTGGGGTACAACTGTGTAAAAACAGAGGTGAAAATGAATGTGTGAGGTAGAATTGTCAGTGATACCCATATTTCTTAGTTTGGGCTCCTTCCTCTCAGACTTAAAGGAACTGATTAAATTATTCAGAAATTACTTTATATAAGTTTGCAAAGAACAAAATACCTTCCACTGACTGCAAATTGTTTCACACAACTTAAAACTTACTAAAATGAACTGTTGTTCTAATATTAAATGAAAAGAAACGAGTGTGCTTAGTTATACATACCTGTGTTCCTAACAAACCTTTTAAGATACAGCTGTAATATACTTCTGACTAGTCATTTTGTGATACCTCTATTTCTTTATCAAGGAGACTTCATGTACTGTATGGTACTGCTCAGTTTCACTGTTGAAATACTGTATGAAATATCTTCACAGCTTGTCATTCCATTCATTACTGTATGAAGCAGAAAAAAAATACCCTAAAAATTATTGCTCGTAAATGTTTATGTTACACTTGCCTTTCTCCTGAATTAGGGGTTTGGGACATGGGGTTATTTTTGACTGGCCCTCTGGGCAAGCGAAGTTAGTTTTCCACGGGTTGTTTTACTTTCAGAAGTTGTGGCTGTGTGAGGTGGCCCATTTTATGGTTATTAGTGGCACCAGAGATAAATCCTAGACAATCCAAAATGGACTGACTATATACAGTTCCAAATTACATGAGAAGATTTAAACCAGCTGTGTGCTCTCATAGGAAAGCGTGCTAGGACAATTACTGTGAAGCATGCCCTGCTTCAATTAGACAGTATTTGTCCATTTTAAGGTTAAGCAAGTAATGAAACGTGCATGTTATGTGCAGAGTAGCGTTTCTTAAGCAGTGTCATCTTCTTCTGGTATGGAATACACTTGAAGGCAGATACACACTTTATTTAATGAGCTATCTCCACGAGAAGAGAGTCTTATTATAGGGATGTGTTTGGTCACCAAGACAAAGTGACCCAAAGTGAAGGTTGATACTGTCATTTGTACCTTGCTGTCACAGTATGGCAGCTCTGGCATTTACATCAGAGAGGATTTGCAATGATTCTAGAAGATGCAAAGTAATCCAAATTTCTTTCAGTTATTTACACAATGAAGAAATACTGGGAGAAAGTTTTGATTTTTATGTATTAGTTTATTTAATATTGCTTTAAGTAAAATAAATTCAATAAAAAGGAGAGGAGGATCTAAATGAGCACATTTGTGTTCATAGTAATAACTTTAACACGAAGTGCCTCGAGCCTTCTTTCATAAGAGCATAATTTAACATTTTTTCAGTGTACAATCTGTGTAACTCACTGCAGTTGTAAATTGTGACCGTGGAAATCAACCACATTTCAAATGCTATGGTTTAAATGTTGGCAATACATTTTGTTGCTAAGTTTTATCACTTGTTTCACTGTTCAAGCGCGCACTAAATAATATTTAACCTAGAGACATCTCTGAAGTATCCTTAGACTGAGAACTTTACCTGGATCTAGTAGTTTGGTAATTTTCCTTTAGATGCATGCACTCAATGCATCTAGAAAATACATTCAGGAATATATATGTAATTTATATTATTACAACCATTTTGGAAAAATTTTAGGGAATAAAATATTTTAATATAACAAGAAGTATCAGTTGGATTCTGGCTACTGGATTTAGGGACTTCTGCAGCATCCTCCTGTGCCCTCAAGTTAGTAGGATTTGGGTAATTTGCATACAGGTCTTGAACCTAAAGTTGTAGGTTTTTTCAGTAGGTGGCAGTCTTACCTTTGCATCAGTTGATGTCTGGCTGCAGGGTGTTGGTGTGAAGGAGAAACGGAGCTGTGAGTAATGAAGGATGGTTTTGGTGAAGTGTGAGATACTGGTTTGGTAGTTATAGGGCCTTTTGCAAAGACAGCACATTTTAGAAATTACTACGTATTACCAGCTTTGTTAATTTAGCTTAATTAATGTCCCATTGCAGGTTAGCTTGTGTTTAGTCTGTTGTATATTTACAAAATAATATTGATTTATGTACAGCAGTAATGTTGCTGTGTTTCTTACTAAGGGCAGTGATCCAGTTGTTATCAGAATTTACAGCCCCAGAAAAGCACAACTCAGCAGTTCCTGGAAAGCTTACAGTCTCACATATTCACCGTTTTGTGCCTTGAAGGGCTGTGGTCAGGTATTCTGAGCACGGGTATTTAACAGATAAACAGATTTCTGTATAATGTTGTCCTGTGCACACCTGAGTTACAAGACATTTTTTGTGGTAGATTTTTATCTCCAAGAACTTTGATATATTTGTGATTAACGGCTGTGTTTGAACTCAGCTGAATATCGCTCTGGCATCTAGAAGGGAACACTATGGACAGTAATGGAAAGATGTGGAGATAAAAATAAGTTTCAGTCCTGACACCTTAAATTGTGCTTCTAGTGTTTTGGACTTCTCTGTCCCATTTATGTGATCCTGTTGGCTAGTACCACTGCAACTTAAGTGTGCTAGCTCACCAGGTATTCAATGGTCATCACCCAAAGCTTACTGTATTTATTTTTTAAGGTTTGACAAAAAGTTATAAGACTGATGGACAGGGTAAGACAATTGGGGTGTTTTGGATGTGTGCATGCAAAAGTTTAATGAAGTGTTGGGGAAATGTTGTATTTTGTACACCATTAAACTCCAGAATTACCTGCTTAAAAATCTTTAGCATCAGCAGGAGGTCAAAGATATCTGCTAAGCCAGTATTGCAGGTTATGAACTGAGTGAAGGCTTAAAATGTAACACCTAATTCTTAGTTTTACTACTAGAAATGTGGAAGTTAGAAGTGCAGAATCTTCCTCACAAACATGATGAAGTTTTTGTCCAGATTCACAGTTTGGAGTTTATTGTAGTTCTTGGAACTACTGACATATTGGAATATGTATATTCCATTACAAATACAAACATTTAAGCTCTTAATTTGCATATTCAACTATTACAGATAGCTGTCTCCTATTACAGATAGCTGTCTTCTAGATTTTTTTTCTGTTATGGTTTCTTTTCATTAGAAAGCTAAGAGGTAGTTGCTAATTTTTGTTGTGAATAAAAGGATATATTGCTGATGCTTGGGATGTAAATTACTTAAAGTGGAGTTAGCCTTGACATAATTGTGTGTTTTCTATATTCCATTACAGAGATGGTGAACTGAGTTTGAGTAGATCAATGATCAATAGCTCTGATAAGATAATTCGAAAGGGTGGCTCCTCAATCTTCCAACATGCTGCAGAAGGTTGGAAAATCAATTCTTCTTTGGTGATGGAAATAAGGTGAGTTTCTGAAATAGAAAAAAGCTGTTAATTTCACCTTGCCTATAATTCTTTTCATTCATGTTGCTTTATAATTCCTTTGGTCTATAAAACAGTAATTTGATTTACATTTGCAGGTGGATGTTTTTAAACTGTATCTATTTAGGTTTCAGTGTTAAATACAACTGCAGTACATTAGGCTTCAAAGTGAAGTCTTCCTTCATAAGAATTAATGTTTTCATCTGGCTGTGACTGTCAGACCTGTGCAATCAGTCTGTATTATTCATGCCCATATTTAAGCTGGTTGTCTAGAGCTCTTCCACAGACGGTGGTAAGAAACTGGCGCTTTTAGGATGTCATTTTCTGTCATCCTAAATGTTTGAAATAGATCAGGTGGAGGTATCCTGGTGTCCTAAAGTCACCCCAGGACACCTGGCCATATGAATTTTCCCTCCCTTGACTACAGAAGGAGCTTAGGCAGACAGCTGAGGTGCAGTAGTCAATAGCTGGGCCATCAAGTGTGAATCCACTTGTGGCTGTGGCTGGTCCATGTCAGGGTGAGACGCTGACAGTAGTTGTGTCTTACGCAGTTTCCTTTCTTGATGTCAGAAAGGCCAAAAAGAGCATTAGGCTTATGCTGGGGGGGCAGCCCAGTAGCAGAGTTAAACTGAGTGATAGTTCTGATGTGTCTTTACAGTGTATCTGTGCACCTTGTGACCACAGAGAGTAGCAAGATGTCTCTGAGTGTGTCATGTCGTATCTTCCCCACCTTCATCAGGAAGGTGGCCCATGAGAGAAGCATATGGAGCGTGGATTGTCAGATCTAAGAGTGTTGCATTCTATGAAAAATGAGAGAAAGTAACTATTTTTAACTCACAGTAGATTAGACTCGATTTTCTGAATATTAAGACTTTGAGCAGTAATGTGTTCAAATTAAAATCCGGTTTCTGTGTGATTTCCCATTCTACTTTGAAATTTTTTTATTTTAATTTTTTTTTTTTAGTTAAATGACAGTTTACAAACCCCTTAAACAGGCATTGTTTCCATGTATAAAGGCATGGCTTCTCTGAAGGAGAAATATAGGGATTTTTTTAATGACTGCTATTTTGTCCCTAATTCTAAAGCCTGCAGAAGATAAAGGTAGATCAGAAATGTATGTATCATAAGTTACTGGTCCAAAAGCGGGGAGAAAACAGCTTTTTCTACCTGTGGAGTAAGCTGATACAGAAATGAATGAGTGACTGTAAGTAGAGACAACTATTCTCAGTCATTTTACTGAAAAATTGAGTATCATATTTCAGAACAATTTAAATCCATTACACATTGCTACGCCAGTGAAACAACAAACTAGAAAAAATATTAAAATAACCTCTTGGTTAAAATTTAGAGAGAAAATTAAGCTTGGGTTATGCCAGTTTTACACCTGTTCCGAATTCAAAATACATTATTCAAAGTGGTAAAGCAGTGGAGAATGCTTTAGTATTTTTCATCCTGTTAATACATGTGTGTCATCTCAATCTACTAAATTAATGAGTTTCAAAGTAACTTTTTTCTTTATTGTTTTCCAGAGGGGGAAATTTCTCTTATTTAATAAATTACTATTGTGTACTTAAGAAACACTTCTATATGTAGGGTTTTTTTAAATATTTTGCAGGGAAGGATTTTTGGTGGTTTTTTTTGCCTCATTAGAATGAGGAAAACTGTGTGTCTTCTACACTGGCTGAAGTGCTGCAAGTAGAGGTTCCACTGTAATTCTTCCACTGTAAGATTTTCTGTACCATAGAGAGCATAAAGCTGAGGTTATTTAGCAGTCCACATTGCCAGTCTTGTTTTCAGAGGAACACTGGGGCAGAAAGTAGGTGTGAACCAGAAAATTATTTTAGATTAATGTGACTTAGAGCCAAAAGTTGACATGAACTCTACAGAAGGAGTCAGTGCTAAGTGCCAGGCATAGTCTTTCCAGAAATCCTCTTTGCTGACATGTGTAGCATATTCAGTTATGGTACTCAGTGGTGAGGGAGGGATATCAGGCGTGCTTTTCATTGAGGAAGCTGCATGCAATTCCTTGTGATGTCTTTCAGTCTGATGCTGATTAAATCATGTACATTCTCTCACTTTTACAGATGGTTTGCTCGACACCTTTCTTCCATGGTACAGCAGTAAGAAGCATTTTAGCTGTAGCTTTAGACCTACGCATCTATCAGGACTAGCTTTAAAAAGTGTCTAGCAAAGTCATACAGTATTCTTGTGGTCTAACTAACTGCTCAGCTCTCCATGTTACATGCACTGTGTAGACCATGAAGATGATTCATAGTCTATAATTGGAGCTGTTAACGTGAACAGTGGTTGGTGGTCTTGTGGTGTGAGGTAGACCATAGGAAGTAACAGTAAGAATGAAACAAAATACAAGCTAGTGCCTGTTGAATAATATATAAAATGTTTTCAGTTCTAAGCAGTGGAGAAATAATTTGTGAAGCCATTAGTGTGCATCATAAAGATATTTCATAAAACTTATAGTCACCCATAAATGACAGATGGCTTTGTGTCGTACATCAGCTTGGCACCCACTTGAGCAATTTTCAAATGTAGGAAGTATATTATAATGACTTTAGCTTTGTGCAAGGACTGTTGGTTAGTGATGAGTCAAATCTTGTTGATTGCATCTAGAATATTATACTTCACTATTGCTTTGTTGACTTTGTAGGGTCATCATCACTTGCCCTTTTATTTTTGCTCAAGTTAGTGATGTGTTTTTCAGTTTCAAAGGCGTTAGGAATTTTCAGTAAGGCCAGGCTCAGATAGGAGTCAGTGGGTGGTAATTCTCTCCTCTATCAGGAACCATGAAAGGATGGAAATCTTCCAGTGGGTTTCTGATGGTCTAGGACTTCAAAGCCAGAGAAGGCAGCCTGTGGAGTGTAGCAACCCTCTTGGGAGGGCAGCAGCTCTTTGGAGATCCTAAGCAGGCTTAAGAAGAAAGAGCTAGACTTTCTGTGATTGAGGTGGAAATTAAGCGTGTTACTAATTACTTGAGAGTGTGAAATGTGCTGCCTTGATAATGACTGATTTACTGTGAGAGTGATTTTTGCAACTGATACCTTCTCATTGCTGGCAACTTCTTTGAAGAATTGATAATTCCTGTGGCAAAGGGAGGAGCACCTTCTTGGCTCCCCTTTTCTATCTGAATTATTTCAATCATGAAGAGTCCACCACCTGCTATGGTGTTATGTCTTGCGTCCTTTCTACTCTCTGTAGCAATGTGGAGGTTTTCCTTATGCTTATGGAAATAAGGAGACTTCATTTGTAATGAAGGCTGTATTTTCAGAAAGTAGGGATGTGGCTGAGATGGGTGCAAACCTATATGGGGAGGCCTTGCACACAGGGCTGACAACAGCATGTCTGTGACCTGTGTGAAATGAACCACAGTTCAATGTCTGTCACTTTCTTCTAGTTACTTTTAAATAAATATGTTAATTTATGCTGAAAGGAGCATAAGGTGGTTATGAATTGCAGGAAGGAGAAATTTTTGAAAAGTACATTGGGAATGTATTCATCTCTGCAATTTAACAGAATATTTCCTGTCAGAAAAGTGTACAGGGAACTTGTAAAATGTCAGCAGCATCTTAAAAAAAAAAGCATCTTCCTCCTTCGAAAGGTTCAGATTATTATCAATTTTTGTCTTTACAAGTTAGTGTGAAACAGCTGTGGTAAGTCCCTGAAGTGCAAGCAGTAAATACAGAACCAGCAGTGGAGCACTGCAATTGCTCTGAAGCTTTTGGAGCAATGTTCTGAAGCCATTTGCACTGTTTCTTTCTGATTGTTTTTGTGTCAAAGACATGGAATCTGGGGTTCTCTGGTCTGGTTTAGTCATAATAAAACTCAGAGGATTTTTGCTTGCCAATCTATTTTACTCTGCCTTGCTTATCTTCATGAAATGCTGGTATATGGATGACCTTCCTGTGATAAGCAGTAGTTGAGTCATTGTCTGTTTGAAAGCCCTCTTCCTTCTTCATGCCCACTCTCTTGTGTTACAGCACTTCTGGTTGTGTTGCCTCCATCAGCTGGGAGCTCCTAGGAACTCTTCCAGGGCTATTTCAAGTTATGTATGTTTTTAACAAATCCAAATTAGTGGTTGAACTAGATGATCTTTCAAGTCCCCTTCCAACACAAACTATCCATGATTCTAAAGGCTGCTTTCCTGGAAGAGCTTTTCTAAAAACCTCCTTTTAGACTAAAGTAAAACCCAGCACATAACTGTGCAAATATCTGTGGTCCCCACTGCCTTCTCAAAAAAACAACAGGAGCTGGAGCTTTAGTCATGTACAAGAGCAAGTTGTGACCTTTTGTTACCAGAGAGCTTGTTATTTCCTGTTGTTTTTAATTAAACTAATTTAGCTGTCAAAAAAATAAAAAAAAGTTTTGTCTAGGCCACAGTCAATCCCTGGTGATTCTAAAGGCTGAGAGCCACCTTCTGCCTTCCAGCTGCAGAGTGCAAAGCAGAGTCAGGACTTGCTAGGGTTAGAAAGTCGAGTTGTTTATGAAGGCCAGTCTGGGAGAGTCTGCAGGAGATTAAGAGGAGGGATTAGAAATCTACAGCATAGAAGTTTTTAAAAAAGTTGAATGTTTTTTTATCCTCAGGTAAATTAAGGATATTGCTAAGAGTAAGGTGTAGTCCTAATGAAGGCATAAGGAACCAAAGCATCCTCAGCTGCTGTGGAAAAGGTCTGAGGAATACTGTGCTTCCAGTAAGGCCAGGGTAGGTGATGGAGGTGCGTGGGGAGGGTGTCAGGTCCCCACCGCAAGGGATTTTTAGGAACATATTAGATAAACATGGGCTGGGGGACATGTAGATAAAGGCATATCTTAAGTGGGCCTTCAGAGGAACAATTAAACACTTAGTGCATCTCTGTTCCATAATGGGATTGCTGGTGAACCCTCCTGGGCACTTAGGATGCACTCCAGAGGCTTCCCCTCATGCCTGGGGTCCACTCAAGTCTGGCAGCAATGATTTATGGCACTCTCTTCCTCTACAGAAATTATTTTTCCCAGAAAAAGCATTGGAGGTCATATTTCAGTTTTCTTGAGAATGTCTAAAAATATACATGTTTTTGTAATCTCAAAAGTTAAGTCTTCTCGTGGTCTATTTCCTTTTGTTCATTCACACAGTTCAGAGGCAGATGAAGAACAGTTTGAGATTATATAATAGTTTTGTGGTACAAAGACCACAGTACAAAATAAAACTAGAAACATGCATCATGAGAAAAATCTCACCATGTTTCCCCAGAGCAGTAAACAGTATTAACATTTGGCAAGCTATTCAGAGACCTTGCTGTTGCGTGATCTCATCAGATAACCAGGAGTTTCAGTTGGTACTTAAATATTATGGAGATCTGTTTGCTTATCAGAGAAAAACTGTAGGTCAGCCACAGATAATGACACTGGGTTTTTTGAGTCATTTAAGCATGTTCCAAGCAGCTGCTTGGCTACAATTAGTCTCACCTGCCCATAAAACGGCTCAGATCACACCCTGATACAGTTTTATTTGTCATTAAAAAACTTGAAGAACAACCTCAAATGAAACTGTTTACACATTGTAGCTTAGGGTTGCAGAGCACCATTCTTCAAGGTTTGCTAAAAATCTTGCTCTTCTTTCCCTTGGTGGAACTGAGCTTACTTTTGAATTTAATATGCAGCCTGAAATGGATTAATTCTTACTTGTCATTATTTTGTTATGTCTGTTTAATCAGAATAACCTCATTTTGCTATTTTTAGTGCTCTTTGTGGGACAGAACAGGGGTTTAAATAAGTTATTATTAATCAGCATCAAGAGTGACTGAGACACTCGTATTTATGCTCAGTATTTGTTATATCCCTCAGTAATTTTTTTTTTCTCTTAGCACTTATGTGAAAATTGGAAGTACTGTTGTCCCCATGGTATGGGTGAGTCAGTAGCACAGAGGGACTTAAAACAATAACATGGATTCTGCATTATTTATCATACTACTTTCAGTATTAAAAGATACCTGGATACAGGCAAATGAATCGATAAAAATATTCTAATGTTAGCATTATTACATATCTCTTATACAAGGATTCTATTGCATATTGCACTACCTGGGTGCACATTTAACTAAATATGCTAATGACAGCTTCAGATAAGAAAATATTTTTAAATATGTGAGAAGATGCTAAGATTAGTGACTTCTGACTGTTTCAGCATTTTATTGAAAAATAAATTCCTTAGACATTTTGGAAATTTCAGCTGTGTTAAATGAGTGGTCGATTATCTGATTCTAATTCAGGTCCATATGAAATTCTTTGGAGGACTTCTAGGATCATATATATAAATAAGTTTTGAATGCAAGCAGCCAAATGAATTATGGAAGATAAGGTGATGTTACTTGTTATATACTTTCTGTACATTTCACATAATTTTCTGAGGTTTTGAGACTCGTTTGTGGTCATCCCTTCTCAAGTCAGAGTTCATGTGAAATGAGTCTCCTGATAGCTTGGCTGATCATGTTCGTAGCTTTTGATGCATTCATATTGTCCTTTACAGCCCCAGCTGTAGTAGCTCTCTCCCTGTGTAATGAATAATTGCAGTAATTTTTAATACTTCTAGATTGGGCAGCTCTTTCTTTCTTGCTCTTTTTTGTTTTGTATCAATAATCCATCAGCTGATCTATTTGTGGCAGAGTGCCCACAAAGTTAAGCTGTCATACCCACAGAGATTTAAAGTCCATTCAATTTAAAAGCCAAAACTGAGTCTTCATCCTCCTTTTACAGAAATATCTTGCCTGGCCTTACCAAAAGCTACACTCAGGATTTTAAGATTCTCTGTCTTGTTTTGTTTTTCTGAGTGCCTCATGTGCCTCAGCATAAGTTGTCTTTGCTGCTCCCTTCATATGTGACAGCTGTAACAGCCCAACATATTCCAGATATTCTTTTATTCTTTTCCTTTTTTTTTTTTTTTTGTTTTTGGCCAAGTTTAGGAAGTAGGAATTACTTAAAAACACTTTTTATTATGTTCCACTTCTCCTGTGCCTTTTCAGATAAGTTTTATGGTGAGTATTATGTGTTGCTGGTTCCAAGATTCAGACAAATTCCTCTTTCTTGAGGCAGCAACAAAAGTGAGCATGGGTGTTTCTATAGTCCATCCTTTTTAATATGTGGGGAATTGTTTTGCCTTTATGCCTGTGTCTGAGTGTTGCAACTGATCAAAGAACATTTCTAGTTCTCCTGTTTGGTTGTGCTCTAGGGAAGTTTGTCTCTAGAAGCTTAATATGCAAAAATAACATTCTTGTAGTCAACAAAATATCCATTTCGTTTTAAAGTCCATCTTACCTACTGGCAACAGTGAAAAATATAATGTTTTGTTTTTCTTCTTTCCTTGTTAGACTTGCCAAGGCAAAAGTTTCTGGTAGATTTAAAAATAAAAGCCCAACTCAGCACTCCCTGTCTGGTCCATAAGAATGTTGTACTTTCTTCAGATGTGATTTTTCTTCACAAAAATAGCTGCTTCACAGAGGGACACAAGCTTGTAAAGCTTTGCTCACTTTTAGTCCTGAGGTATCAGTGGCTTCCACAGCTCTGGCCGAGGGATTTTTTTCAGCTTTTTATGTCAAGGGTGTACTGAAAACTGCTCTACACTGCCAGTGCAGGTATTTGTCGTTGCATACATTAGTCATTACATTGCAGTCATTAAATATCTCTTCTGAGCCTACATACTGAACATGTGCTAGTTTTTGGACCCCAGTCCCCACCTTGTCATGGGCAGAATGGAAGTTTTGGACAGAGTTTATTAGAGAATCCATCACATGGAGTTACGAGGTATGGAACTTCTTTTCTATACCCCTTGCATGTTAAGCTCCTTCTCAGAGAGGAGTCAAAGTATGATTGGATCTAATCTTGACCACAGACTTGGTCAACAGTTTATGTTTAAAGGATTGTGCAAGTGCAATTGAACCTTTATGCAATTTTGTCCCACAAGATTAAGGATGGCAAACCAAATACACTTAAGTTATTAAAGTAAATTATTATTGATGATCGTAATGATAATAATTAGACTAAAAGATTTATATTTAATACATGCTATAGTTATAAGTTCTAGTACAGTGCAATGTTCACTGAAGCCATATTGAAGCAACAGTATTAAAGCTAGCAAAATAATCAAGTAGATATTGATGGTACTTACCCATACCAGTGACCATGGGAAGTCTCTTTTAGTCAGCTTTAAGGTGTAACCTTTAAAGGGATTCCCACTCAGGGAAGGAAGCTACACACACGTTCCAGCCAAGGAGGAGTGTGTCAGAATTCTCTGCCATTAGGAAAGGGGCCTTGGCTTTTGTATTATTTTGTATTACAAAGTGATTGACAGTCAGCTCAGCAGCCTTACATCAGTCACCAGTACTGTCCCTTGTTGGTTCCATTATCAGGAGCTGTGCTGAATCCTCACCAGTGCCAGTTTCTATTAAGGACTGTTCTTCACAGAATTGAGTGTTTAACTTTGGGCTTGATGAGTCAGGCTGGTCTCAGCATTTCTTCAACACCAAAAGCAGGGTGAACTCTTCTTTTCCATCAGCACTGGAAACTTTTGCAAGAGAGGTTGAGGTGCTTTACCTCCACCTAGGCAGAAGATCCTGGTGACCCCATGAGCAGAAAGCATGAGTTCACTTTTCAGCTGATACAAAAGCAAACATTCTTTATCAGTTGCTTGCTTGGGGCTGGGAATATACAGCTGTTCAACTTCACTTGATACATGGCAGTTTTTTAAACCCTCATATTTGGTCATGTGTGTCTAAACCTGTCTAATAGTTTAAACAATTATTTGCATAAAATATGATAAATGTTGCAAAGTGAATTGATGAGTTTGTAAGAGAATCTGAGTTCAGCTAACAGCTTATCTGGACCCTGAGCTGCAGTTGTTTCATTTGCAAGATGTTTTAAGCTGATTTTGTTTAAATTGGTACAAAAGACTGGGTGTGTTCTCGTATCAAGTTAATTAGGATTGCCTTAGCTAAACTTCTGTTAATTAGGAGGAAGTTTATTCTAAACTGAATATATTACTTTTATGGTGAAATAGGAATCAATAAGAAAACATGGCCATTCCTGAGCCAGGCAGATTTGTAAGAGATTACATTTCCTGATCACAAATACTTCATGTATTTAAGTTTGGTTTTAAAAATGTCATAATTCCAAAATTTTTGAAGATACTCAAGCACAGTATGCCTTCAAATTTTCAGTTATTTTTTTCCTTTGTCTCTCTGTGCCTTTGTGTCATTAACCTCTAGTTCTGTAGTGTTTTTGTGTTACATTGCAACCACAGTGTGAACTCCATAAAAGCTTTGCTCTTGCTCCATCCTAGGGCATGGGAAGTTACCCTGGCAGGACTGACACTGGCTACCCTCTGCTTTATATTGTACGCTTTGTACAGTCTGTATTGCTGTTAGATAAACTCCATTTGAGCAGGGAGTGTTGGGTTTTACCTCTGCCTTTTTCTGTCAATGCAGGAAGAATATTCTTCAGTTCTTGGATGCAGAAAGAGATGTCTCGGTGGTCAAAAGCAACTTCAAGCCAGGAGATGTAATTCATTATGTACTGGACAGACGTCGCACTCTAAACATTTCTCAGGATTTGCACAGCCTTCTCCCTGAAGTTTCCCCGATGAAAAATCGCCGATTTAAAACCTGTGCGGTTGTTGGGAATTCTGGCATCCTTCTGAAGAGTGGTTGTGGAAAAGAGATTGATAGCCATGATTTCGTAATAAGGTAAGTTTTTATCTGCTGTTGAATATGCAGGCTATGTTTCTTGGAGAAAACCTGGGAGAAATGTTTTGATCTGAGGTACATATTACAGGCATTATTTGAAATTAATCTGAAACAATATCCATCAACATGTGATACCAAAAATTTAAATTCATGCCTATATTATTGACAAGAAGATTATTTTTACAGTGAAAATAAAACAAGTGAGAAAGGTTTGCATTACTTAATTTTGCTTTTTGCTGTTCTTACTCCAGACAGAATTATTCTTATTGAGGTCTTGGTAGAATAAATGCAAAATGGTTTCTCTTTTAAAAATACTCTTTCATAGTTTTTGGTCAGCACAGATGGCCTTTTGTAAATTACTACATTACTTTCGTGTAGTATGTAGTAAAATTTCAGTGTGGTGTATTGATGTTAAACCAGGATGCCACTGAGGTAGTTGGAAGTCATCCTGGTATATTCATTCATGTTGGTTTAAGAATCTGTTCTTGCAGTTTGGGGGAAAAAATGGTATGTTTCACTTCTTATTCATTCTGCAAACACACACAGTAGAGGGCCTTTGGATTTCATGTGTCATGTCAAAGCTGACCTTATTTGACATCCTGTCATTATGTAGAAAATGCTGAACAAGAGATGGGTAATTTTGCTTTTGAAGCAAAGTTTCAATTGATTTGGTTTGAGAATGTTAAAAGGGCAGAAAACAGGAGGGTTGTGACACAAAGCAATATAGAAATAGTAGTCCTTGTGAGTTATTTGCTTTTTTTTTTTTTCACCTTTAACAATGATGGTGACAATAAGTAGTAAAAGGGATGAATAAAATGAAATGGGAAAGAAAAATAACAGTTTTTCTGTGCATAAATAAAAGAAGAATATGCACGAGTTTTGTATTTAATTTGAAAGTTATTTTAACAAGTTGCAGCTGAAGCAGTAACACACTTCTCTTTCATTTTCCGTATTAGTTTTACTTGTACCACTAGTTATTCAAATTAACATCCTTATTACTGCAGAGTAAATCCAATAGTAATTACCACAGTTTTGAACTGCATTTTGCCTATGGCATGCTTTTGTACTCTCTCTGAGATTAAATGTGATCTTTATAACAGGATGTCTTGTTTTTTGGACAAATTTACGAGGAAACCTTCTGAAAGGGCATTTGTTTTAATGAAGAGCAGATTTTAGCAACTTCTTTTTTTATGGGTCCTTACAGGTTAGAAAGGATTTTTCTTGGAGCAAGTGAAAAAATTATTTAACAAGCAAGTTGTTTTCAGGTATGAAGAAAACTAATAACGTTAAATGATACTACTTTTTTCTGCTTTGAAGAGATTGAGGGTTTTTTCTGTAGGTGTGGTTCAGTCATTTTCCAAGTCAGGAGCTGGCCTCTGGGCCACAGTACAGCGTGGGGAGCCCCTGGGCAAAATTTCAGTGTTCTGGATTGTAGAAGAGTACAGTTCCAGGAAAAACTTCTGCTTCAGTTAACAGACAAAAAGCTAGCTTAAAAAGCAAAGAGGCTACTCAGTTTCTTTTTTCTGGAGAGAAAAAGCCGAGAGTTGGGAGAAACTGAGAGTCTTATCTCTGAATTTTTAAACACAGGCGGTGAAAAGATTGTATCGCTTCTCTTTCCTCTTCCTCTCTCTCTGGGCTTAGCTTAAAGCTATAGGACCCATTTTTGGGCACAAAGCAGGCAATAGGGGGTACAGTAACGTCATTCCAGGACACAGGACTACAGAAAAGTTAAGATGCTAGATTTTTTAGATTAAAATTTTTGTAGAGAAGGCAAGGTACATATTTTATTTTAAATCATGTGCTGAATTTCTTTGCAGTCATCCCCATGCTCTTCCACTTGTTTCAACTAGCCATGAAACCAGGTGATGATATCGGATAGGAGATTTTAACTAACTCAGCTACATGGAGGAAAGATAATACTCTAAAGACTTGATGAAGATTAATAGGAACAGTAAGAATTTACTGTTGCTAATCAGTTCTTTAGGCTGGTGAGATGTGGGCGTTCTGTGAAGTTGGCGAGGAACTCTGGAACAAGTTGCCCAGAGAAGCTGTGCATGTCCCATCCCTGGAAGTGTTCATGACCAGGTTGGATGGGGCACTGAGCAACCTGGTTTAGTGAAAGGTGTCCCTGACCACGGTGGGGGATTTAGAACTAGATAATCTTTAAGGCCCCCTTTCAACCTAAACCATTTTATGATTCCATGAAACAGCTCTCATGATATATGAAAATTAAAGTGATCTGTGTAACAGCCAGTGGATCTGACAATACAGTGATTCATAATCTCTAATGTTTTGGGAATAACATGCTTGGCCCTGCTGCCTATAGGGAGTTTCAATGCAGTGGTTTTTTTAATATTAATTTACAAATGAAAGTTAAAATGTTTTAGAATTTGCATATTATAATTTCAAGTATATGATATTTTTTATTTGAGTCTAGATGCATGTATAGTTATATAGCATCTGTTTAAATAGCAAGGAATTTGTTTGCAACTGAAGTTAAAGAAAAACCAGATGATTCATCAGAGTTAGTTTCCTATATTCCTCATCTTCTGTTTAGAAAAAGTTGTACATCATGTGATATGTAATCACATGGTGTAATTATGAAGTTCTGGAGTGCTTCATAAGCACTTACCTATATTGCTGTTAGGATTCTGGTATTAAGATGTACCATGACACATGGTAATATGTCTGCTAATGTTATCAGTTTTATCTGACCTCTCTGGAAGTGAAATGTCCTCACTTAGGTGCAGTATGATGGTATTCTTGAAAGGAGTTACTGAATGTATCCAAGTGTATATGTGGATGAAGGACATTTTTGTAGAATAATCTGATGCCAAGTGCATTATGCCTATATGCTGTGACAAGTATTTACTATTACTATTCTGGTTAAATATATTCCCATGATTTTGATTGTATTTATGCGGGGGAGAGAGGTGAAATCTGAAGGAAAATTGTTTCTCTCAGAGTTGTTTCTTAGAGGAGCAGCAATACCATTAATTTAATGATAAAACTGACAATGAAGGTCTGTGACAATGAAGAGGACACAACAGATATCCAACAATGTTTGCAGTATGATAATATCCTATAAAGGTAATGTGAAGGTGTTAATAATAATGGACAAACACACAGAAGTTTCATGAGGTTAGCAAAGTCATGCGTATTTTGGCAGTAGAAAATGTGGTCCATCTAATTAAAATGGGAAGCAGGGGGACTTTGCTATTAGAAAGATATCAAACGGTGATGACGATGAACTATCTTCTATTTCTGTGTACCTTGCCTTTTTACCCCATTAGGGGCTATTGATCTATGTGCCCCTGCTTCTCTTCTAGTGCTGAGCTTAAGTGTGCTGCATTCTGATGCTATAGCCAGAAAGAGTATGAAGCATTACAGAATATCTGATTAGATATATCTTATTCCCACACTGTCTGCACTTTATCATGCTGAAAATACCAAGCCAGGTAGCGGTTGTATCTTACAGATCAGATGAACTTATTATATTAAGTGGTATATTTTGAAATGTAGTGCTTACATTGTACTTTCTGAGAAATGCAGCTGTATTTTGGACAGGTGTAAAATAACAGTACTAAGCATTGGCAAGTAGTAACTTGGAATTACTTCTGGAAGCCAATATGTACCAGGTAGTTCAGCTTTGTATTTAGAATTTGAACAACAATAAAAATCAGAATAAGTAGTTTTTATTCATTTATTTTTAAAGGAATTTAATTTGACATTTGTGATGAGACCTATTCAAAAGCAGAGGCCAAGTTCAGTTTTGGAGTTATTTGGTTAAAACCAACCACTCAAACAAACTGTAGTAAATATATTGTGGCTTTTTTGTGAGGATACCATTTCTGTCCACGATTTCATTTCAGCTGGACAGTATGGAGAGTTAAGTGAAGCTTTTCAGTATGTTAGGGCTGCTCTTACAAGGAACAGGCATAAGAAGATATTAGTTGCTTCTTTCTTTGTATTGAAGTGCCGAGTTTATATGTTACCACTCTTCTTTTCCCATTGGAGTTTTTTCCTGGTGACTCTGCCAGTATTTAGGAATTAAATGTATGTTATTGCCATCACTAGTCATAAATTTTTTCTGGGCAAATGCAGCTCTATTTTTCGAGAATACTGGAACTTCTACTACTGGACTTTTGTTTTTTAACTTGGTCAAGTTAAACCTTTTGGTTAGTAAAGTTGACATGAAAAAGCTTGTAATCTTCCCTTTTTTTTGGGGGGGAGGGGTGGTGTTCCCTTTTGAGAGGAAAGAATGCATTGTTTCACAGATATCTTGGTTTGCCCTGTATGAAGGTGAGGATAACCTGTTTTGACTTTCTCCCTAGTGTATTGATTTTTGTGAGCAATTGTGAAGCAAACATCACATGTGGTAGGAGCAGAAGACAGCAGATAGGGCCAGGCAGAAGAAAAGGACGGACCTAATCATACCATGATAGTGTGGTATCTTTTTTCAGGAGAGCAATTTAAATTAATCATAACAAATGAGTAGAAGCTTCATTAATGTGTGTTGTTCCTTCAGGTGCTATAAAAAAAAATTAGCAAAGATCTAAACAAAGATATTTAGTATATCAATTTACCAATATTCCAGAACTTGTTTTTTGTAATTCATATCAGCTTTTATGTCCAAATATTTTTTTAGTATACCTTGCTTGGACCGTGGCCACCATGCTGAGTAGAGCTAAATCCTTGGAGCCAGCAGATTTGTTGAAAGCAAAGTTGCCAATTTAACACACATATTTTAAAGTATGAGTCTTCCTCTAAAAATAACATCTGAATGCATCATGACTAGCTCATTAGACCCTTTTCAGATCTCAAATGTGGCAGCTCTATTTTTGCCTTCTGTTTTTTCCTTGAACTTGTCACACTATACTGAAACATTAAATGAAAGCAGAGGAAAGCTATCATCTTCCAGTGTTCTTGCTCAGGGATTTGAGTGTCTGAGAAAGGGGAGCACAGGTGGGGTTGTTCCAGTCAGCCAGGTGTAGGTGGTCTCCACCTTAGGAGAGCCTTGGAGAAGGATTGACTCATGTAGCCACATCTTAGGGTTGTTGTTTGTTTTTTTTTTTAAAGAAGTTAGTCTTTAAGGAGGTGATTTAGGAGGATACTTAAGAACAGAAACTGGAACACTCAGGAAATACCAGTAAAAAATTACTTTTACATATATACATGTGTATATATATATATATATATATATATATACATATATTAATATATGTACATATACACATACACAAACGATAATGGGTTCTGAAAAGACTGCTTAAATAAATTCATGTCCTGTAAGCATCCAAATGTAAGGCAGATAGGGTTAGCCTGAATCATCCTTGAATCTTAAAGTTATCCTGAGAAAAGAGGATACTATTATTTTAAAGTCACTTACTTCAATTGTTGATAATACAGAGCCTTTAATTTAGTAGTATTCTAAACAGTTGGAATACCAGAACAGTATGCTTTTGTTCCCCATTTTAAGAGGTGAAAAAGTTCAGAGCCGTCTTAATCTAAATAACGGCCTTTTTAGCTGTTCTCCATTTTGGAAAGTTCAAACTGCTGCTGCTTTCTACATTCTATTCTGACAATTCCAAAGTGCTCCTCCAAAACAATGGAAAACATATTTTTTTCTGAATTTATTGCAAGGGTAATAAATTTTTTTAAACTCTTTCTGTCCTCATAATGTTGCAGACTTTTTTTTTTTAAAAAATCTGTATCAGAATTATAAGAATTGTGTGGAACTTCATAATTGCCCTATAGAATATACTCTTTATAGATAGTAATGTGGGATGGTATTTTCACATAAAAAGGCAGAGGTACGGGTGTTCAGGATACTGCTAAGTTCAGTTTCTTAGTTTTCATGCATTAAAATATAATTTTCAATATTTCACTGCTGTAGTTTTTGCAGGGTTTTTTAATATTTTTTCTTTATATGCAGAAGCTTTCAGTGATATAAAAACTCATTGCTTTATTTTGTTGTCAAAGGAATAGTACTGGAAAGGGCAGCAAAACTAATCCATGTGTCATTTTGCAGCAGTACACCCAATAAAGATGTAAATAATGTGTTTTGCAGCTCTTTCTAAAATGTCACTTAGACTTTTTCTGACCCTCCACTATGCTGTGTCGATTGATGATAACTTGGATTTCAATCACTGGTGTTAAGGCAGATGCTGGGAAGAAAGAATTTGCTGGTTACAAGTATAAGTTCAAATCTGGGCAACAGGAATTAATGATGCTTATCAGCAGGTGATTTTACAAAAACCATCTTCATACTGAAGGCATAAGTTCAGTATTTTTGTGAACTTGTGTAGTTAAGGGATGTATCAAGGCAATGTTTTACATGGCACATACTAAAAAGCCCTCATTAATTGTTGTATGTGAATAGAATCTGCAAAGCTGTACCTGAGCATCTAATCTCGTAGCTCTTATGAGACATCCTCTGTTGTGCCATGGATGAGGACTGAGATGAATTAGGTATGTTAGGGGATTCATTATTAATTCAGATTCCTATGAAGTTAATTTGTAGCAACTTTAGTTTTTTCAGTAACCAAAGAAGTATGCAGAACATGTGAGAATCCATACACATAATTATTAATTAAATTTGTTGCAGAAATAGGAAGTTTGTGCATGGTTTTTATTTATTTATTTTTTTTTTAAATTTTTCTTTTTTGGGCTTGTGTGAAAGTTACCACAGCACTGCTGCACACCTTTATTTGGAGAATCAGGGGAGAAGATGTGCTATATACACACAAGTATTAGGGCAATGTGCTTCTTGCATGTAGATTGAGTGTGGTCCAGCTGTGAGGTTCTCTTCAGTCTTCAACTCTTTTTTTCCTCTCCTACTTGCTCAAAACTTAATTTTTCTTTCATGTCCAATTACATCTTAAAAATGATGAGAGTTACTGAATTCAAGATTACAGTTTTGATTCTTACAAGAATTTGGATATGAATCTGGATGTGAAACCTTGCAGGCTACTCAGGAGGGAGTGTATGTTACTGACACTAACCTAGGTGTAACGCCTTGTGTTTCAAAACAGTTTAGTATGTCTGCCAGCAACAATCTGATTTTCATTTTTGTCTTCTCAAAATGTATGCAGTTATTACTGTGTGACTGGTATTTTTTGCTTTGCTCTACAAAGAGAAGATATTAATGAACCAAAGCATCAGTATAAAGCACTTCTTTCCCATGGCTTTATAGTGTTTTTAAAGTATTTATTTCAACTTGTAAACCTCAAGTCCACCAGTTGCTAGAGGATTAAGAAGTACAGATTCATGGCTATTTCTTGCATTATTCTACTATAGGTAGAATATTCTTTTGGTTCTCAATGCCAGATAAAATGGAAATTATAACCATTTTACTCAAGGGAATTTTAATGGCTTTTATTTAAAATTGACTTGAAATGTGGTCTATGAATACCATGGACTGGACCTTTGTATACATATACATGATCTGTGTACTTATTAGTGACAAAACAAATTGAACTGAATCTCTGTGGAATAACTGACTTCTCATTTGAGCATACTTTAGTGATTTTGGTTGCGTTATTTTCTTTGTTAGGCTCTGCTCTCTAAAAGACTGTGTATGTTCTGGGTGTTCGATGGCATAGCAAACCCAGGGGTGATCACCCAGTTTGGTGAAAGTGTGGTGTAGAAGCACCTACTCCATTCTTCATTTTTTTCCTCATGGCATACAACTACAGCCCTTAGCAGTTTTTTCCCCACTTAATTTTCTTAATGTATCCCAGTGTAACTAATACATGCAACAGGTGGTTTTGGAACAGGTTTTCAGTCACTGAGACTTTTTGGTCTGCTTGTCTTAGTAGCTCAGTTTCACGCATGCTCAAATGCTACGTGGTATTTCAGACATTATCTAATTTTTCCCTTTTATCCTAGAGCTCTTTTTAGTGACAGCATTGCAGTGTGTTTTTCAGTTGAAAATCTGTTACCACACTGAAAGTTCATGTGAGGGAACCCCTGTGTTTTTACTGGGAATATTTTATAGATATATTTGCCTTTTAGTATTATGGTTGTACGTAGTACATAGTATTGGTGTAAGCTAGATGCCTCTGTAAGCTTAGAGATTTTAAGAGTTTGAAAAAATTATAATAATGGCAGGTTTTAAGTTCATGCATTAAAGTTTCCACAAAAAACTTACAAAGCCAGTATTAAAATCAGTATGAATTTTTCTGATGCTCTAACTACTGTTTTCTAGAAGATATTACTCTTACAAGGCTGAAATGCAGGTTTGCAGATGGTTTGTGAAATAGATATATAAAGATAATGAAGAATGTAAATGTCTTTGCCTACATATATGCCCACATGTTATCAGAAACTTGGACTTCTTTGTCTCCTAGGAATATACTTGCTTTATAATCTTCAGAACATCTTTCTGAAGAAGATAGGACCACTTCTTAACCTGATAATTACATAATGAAAATTATTTTCTGGGTAATTAGTTTTGTCAGACAGGACTAGGTCATCAGTTGATGTTAAGTAATGCTGACTAATTTTTATGTCATTGGACATCTGGCATTAGAAGAAACTAGTGGATAGAAATTTGCAGAATTAATGGAATACTGTTTATATTAGGAGTGTGATAACATGCAAATGTTTTGGAGGAGCCTGTTCCAACATTGCTTCTCAGTTGCTTATTGCTTCACTTAACAGAGCAGTCTGTTAAGTTATGAAAATATTGTTGTGTCAGGATACAATTTTGGGGCATACCAGCTACAGGCTAATTAATTGAGAATGTTGTGGAGATGATTTGTTTGTCATATCATACTGGTCACTGAAATCACAACTGATTGCTGAGTCACATTTTGTTGCCTGCACTGAATGCCTATGTGTGATTACATATGTATGTGTTTATGTAATGGGGGTAAAAATCTGCTGAACAATGGCATAATGAGAACTTCTCAATCCTAGGAAAAAGGCTTGAAAGGTTTGAAAATTAGGTATGAATTAAAAATTGAAAGTTCAATACTTTTTTCCAAAAATCGCAGTTCTAAGTCAAGTAAAAATACTAAATTTTAAACATCAACTGCAGTGATGATACCAAAAAACTCATTTAAAGATGCGGTGAAGCTAGTTTGTAAATAATATTTAAATACTTTGTTTTAAGTAAAGTAAAATAAAAATGCATGGACTAAACTGTATAAATTAGGTTTTCTTTTGCTAACATGGCTTTCTTTGTGTGAGAACTGTTGGTAACATTATGATAAATGAATAATGAAAGGTAGCAGGTTTAAGAAAGCATATTATTCACAAGCCCTGCTTTACATGTTGTTGCATTCTAGAGCATGATGATACGGTTTGCAAATGGTTACAAAGAGGAATTTTTTCTCTCACAGCATCCTTTATGCTTAATTTTTTTAAAAAATTGTCTGATTCTTGTCCAACTAGAGTAAAAATACTATGTGTTATCACACCTCTTATCACTGCTATTTTTTTCTCACATTAAATTGAATTGGGCTTGCATGTTCATTTTTAGCTTTCCCTTCATACGCACATTTTTCTGAGTTAATGTTTCATATTTATTTTCATTTTTCCATTAATTTCTTCCTCTTCAGGTGCAATCTAGCTCCTGTGGTGGAGTTTGCTGCCGATGTGGGAACTAAATCTGATTTTATTACCATGAACCCATCAGTTGTACAAAGAGCATTTGGAGGCTTTCGGAATGAGAGTGACAGAGAAAAATTTGTGCGTAGACTATCCATGCTGAATGACAGTGTCCTTTGGATCCCAGCTTTCATGGTCAAAGGTGGAGAGAAGCATGTGGAGTGGGTTAATGCATTAATCCTTAAGAATAAATTAAAAGTGCGAACCGCCTATCCATCACTGAGACTTATTCATGCTGTCAGAGGGTAAGTGTACGGAAAAGACTGGTCTGTCCTCAGCACAATTAAACTCATAATTAGAATTCCTAGCAGACAGAAAAAAAAAGATGTGTGTTGAAAGGAGCATAATGGTATTCCCCTTATTGATATAATGGATTGCATTTATGGCAAGTTTGTTTGGTAGATAACGCTGGCCACTCATTTAGCCAGCTCTGCTGCAAACAGCTGAAATGCATTAGCACAATAACTTCTCTAACTGCACTTTTGTGTGCAAAAATGTATCATCATTTAGTGATAAGCTAACCTTAAAAATAGTCTGAATTCAGTGTACAGTGGAAATGCTACATGTCTTTTTTGGGAAACAACTGTGAAGATAAAAAATACAATCTCTAAATAGCATCAGGGGTAAGAAACCAACCCTGAAAATAATGAAGCCTGGCAGCAATAATGAAAGTACTGAGCTCTTTCATAAAATATCTAGGATTTGGAGCAATCTTTCTCCTTTTGAATTTGTCCAGATGCTTGAACAATTCATAAACATTGACTAGAATCACTGAAAATGTTAATGAAACCATTTACTAGAAAAAAGATGTATCCATGTTTTGAGAAAATACTTTTCTTTTTAACCCCATAATTAAACAAAACTGTCAGCTGAAGGATCCAATGTATTTGTCACAACTGTATACTACAAGTATATTGAGCTATGCCTGAAAATTATTCCAAAGATGATGGTGCTGCAATGTGTTTGTACATCCAGTTATGACAATATGATAACATTCAGCTTGAGTTCCTTGAAATGTGCTGTTTGTGGGGTTTAGGGAGATACCTTCAAGTGCTGCTATTGGCTTGTACACCAGTTACTGATTATGTTGCCGTTCCTACTGTTACAGCAGCAGAGACAAGTTTAGAAAGAATGTTTGAACCATTATCCCAGTGCAGTACAAGAATAAAGCTTGGACATAAGTTGTTCAGCATATTCTGCCATGTCTCATAGATTTAACTGCTGCATTCCCTCTGTGGTGCACTTCTGGCACTGGAAAAAAATAATCTATTGCCTTGGAAATTAGGAAATCCTTCAGAAAACCTTTACTTTTTTACTGAGTTACTCAGTTTCATTTGACATTTAGACTTTCGCTATTTATGGGCCATGATTGTGTTGAATTTTGGAGTATTCAAAATGCCTGTGGTACATGGGTATAGTGGTTTGAATGTGTATATAAACCTGAGATTGCTTCCAGTTTGCAAGCAACAATTTTAATTTCCAGCTGCTAAATCTGGGCAAAATTATCAAATGTGAATGACAATTCAGAATGTGCAGTTTTTAAGCTGGCCAATTTGAAGGTCCTTTAGGGGGCTTTGTCTTAAAAATATTACTACTACCTACATAGTCTTTCTAAACAAAGCAGCAAAAGCTCTGCCATCTGAATTGTTGAAAATTTGGATTGAGCTTTATTTTAGATTATACCTAGCCATCTGTGTGGCTTATGTTGTCTGATGCGTGGATTCATCCAGTTTTTGAATCTGGAGTCTAAACTCCACAGTAAATTTAAATAGATACCAAGAGTTCTTTGGTTTAGTGAAACTAAAATTTTATTAAAATATGGAAGTATGGTGAATTTCGGGCCAAATCATTTAATATCCAATAATTACTATGTTAATATGGTTCCTGATTCCAACCCGACATATTTAATGCAGGTAGAGAACATCAAGGGTGCAGGTTCAAGATTGGGAAAGTGTTGTCTGTATTCCCTTCTATATGTATCAAACTGTAAAATTTTCTTCATTAGTCTATAGAGTATGTGGTGTTAGGCACTTTCTAAGGGCAGAACATAAAGTTTCTTAGACTTCTGATCTAATGTGGCCAAATTCTTTATTTCTAATGCAGTATCAAGTTATGTTAGAGTTTTATCTAGTAACAGGTCATTTTTGCTAGAATCACAGCACTGCACTGAAATTCTCACTCCTGTTCTTCCTTCTCTTTTAATGAAAGAAACTTTATGGGCAGTATATCGCATTCCAGAGTTGCTGTTGATTGGTCAAATTGCTGAATTCTGAGATAATCTTGAAAGCTTTTTTTTCTGTTACACACTTTTGGGGGTAAAAAAAAGGTAATGTGGTATTGGAAAAAGAAACTACTGTTTTGCTGGTTTCATGCTTTATAAAACTGCTGTGAGTAATGGATGCTCTTCTGTAGTCTCAGAATTTTAGGTTTTAAAACCAGATTATATACATGCAAAGTCCAGCATGACAACTGCTTTTTAAGTCAGTAGTATCATAAATCCCCATTGTAGTCAGATTTTTTTTCTTTGGTAGATTTAGATCAAGTAGTTACCTGTGATAATTTTTCTCTATTTTGCTTTTTCACTTCTTGATCATTAAGTTTTGAGTATGAGATTTTGAAAGTGTTTTGGGAGAGGTTGCATGAGTTTTTCCCAAAGTGTCCCTAAAAGCTAATTTATGGAACTTCTAATATCACTGTGCACATATTGACAAAATAAATGAGCCAATCAATACATGACAGAGTTCAAGGTGGAACTAAGATCTTTAAATTAACATCTTAACTGATTAAAAACATTTACTTGCTCTCTAATGTCACTGTCAAAAAGATTAATTATAAAGTAATTACAATGAACAAACCACGTAACTTTTTTTTTATTTACTTCAATGACTAATTTCAGAAACTCTTTTTTTATTAAGAAGGCTGAGATTTAATGCTGAACTATTTCATTAGGATTATTTCTAGTACTATTTTCCAAATGCAGTTATACTCTCTGAGGTGTAGAAAATGTCTTAGAGGGACTTGTCTCAGTAGCAGAGCTGTAATTGAGTGTGGATGAAACAGTAGACAAAAACAGGAACTGAGGCAGCTGGGATTAGAGTCCAGATCATATTGTTTACTTCTAGTGGTGGCAGGCAACCAAACTCAGAAGTAGGATCAGCAGGATGTTCTGCTGTGGATCCTGCCTTGAGGGTCCGTGGTGGGATTAGAATGGGTTCCTGAGACTAAACATCTAGTTGGTGCATTAAGTGAAGGTCAGTTAACTCCCAGGGCCTTGCACAGCTCTTTGTTTTTTGTGCTTCTGCTGGTGAATATTAGAAGATATCTGTTGAAGTGGCTGAGCACCACCACCCCCTTGCCCTGACAAGCAATACAGATTTAAAATACATTAGTTTTCTGAGAAGGTTTTTTCTTGTATTTCCTCTCTTAAATCCATGAAACAAAGTTCTCACGCTCATCTTGATGGGTAAGAATGTTTTCTTGGCTGCTCTTCCAACTGGAGCAATCCAGTAGGAAACTGTATATTTTGAACTATTAGTCACTCAGCAGCAATATCACTTAAATTGCTTCACATTAGATTCCTTCCCATCTTTTGGATATGGAGCAATTGTGGGGACATCCTGTGGGATTTGCCAGTGCTCTGCTTATTTCCTTCTTGATCCTGCCTGTGAAAAAGCAGTATTATCCTGCATTAAATGTAGCAGAACTCCACTGAAATCTCTTGAGTTTTGCCTGTCCAGGGAGCATGCTGTGCCTATTTATGGTTACTTCTCAGTGGAGGGTCTTTTTTTTCTTTATAAGTGAAAGCAAACAGCTGTTCTTTGGATGGTAGTGACCTTTACCACACAACTTTACCACGCATCTTCAGAGTTTTTTACTCTGGGAGTTACAGAAAAAATACTTTAAGAAACTGAAACATGCAGAAATCAAGTAGTTCTCCAGTAGCTTTGTCCTGAGAAACAAGTACTGTGGGTAATCTATGTTGCCAACACTTGTGTTTTTTTTCTTTCTGCTAACAGACTTCCCTTTTCAGTTTACTGCTAAAATATATTTATTAAGAAAAGGTGTTTTAGAATGCGTGGATGAATAAATCACCTGAGGAAAAAAAAAAAAAGGCCATTATGCTAAAAGTAGAATTCTAAATATAAAATGACTGTTTCTTTTGCATCATGTATATAAATATTTTAAATACTGGGAAAAAATTCACACTAGCTACTTTTCAGTGCAGTACATTCCTGGTTTTTATGTAAGTGGATGTTAAAAATAAGAGGTTTACATTATAGTAAATGTACCCTAGCATAGGGTATCCTTGGATTTGGCTTTGTTTAACTTGTACAAACAAATGGGAAGCCAGTTAATTTGATTTTAAGGACCTAATCTATTGTGTGAAATTGTTTGTCTAATCCCAATATCCTGTCCTATGCAGGGAGCAGGAAGTGTTTTTGTTCTTGAAGTGGAGACACTCCAGGGTTGACTTTTCAGTCTAGCTGAAACTAGCAGCTTCTTGCCAGAGCTGTAGCACCCCAACATCTCTTAAGAATATGCCCTAATATAGTTTAAAGTTTCACAGGATGAGCTTTTATTTCCTTTGCACAACTTGTCCTATTTTATCACATTTCTGAAAGATTTAGCAAGGTCTGTCAAGAGATATCTCACTTTATAAGAGAGAGTTTTCATTGGAGGCAAGCACGGTTGAAGCAGAGAACATGAAAGCAGAACTGACAGTGCACTAAACTGCTTTTTTTTTGCGGTCCATTCCGCCAGGTAAGCCAAGAGAAGTTTGTCATGATAATAGGGATATTTTTATCCTTTTTTTTTACACTTATTTGCCTTTTGACAATAAACTTCTGTAGGTTTTTTGTTTTGGGAGAACGGTTTCATCTCTTACTAAGGCAAATGTTTTACCCCTTATCAGTAATGTTTATGAACCTAACACTTGTAAAACTTACTCTTCCCAGACTGAACTTCAAGTTTCGACTAGTGGAGAGCAACAGAATTAGTCATAAGAAAAAATAGGAATGAAATTTTCCATTTTCAAGTTCTCTTGCTTAGGTTGTCTACCATGAGCAATGTCACTCTATCTAATGCTAATGACTCCTAGGACCTAATCAGGGAGTGACACATAATTTATTCATACAGTGTATTTGCAAATTTATATTTATTTAAAAACTATTTTAGTACTTACTATGATTTTTTTTTTTATTTTAGATTTTTTTAAATTTGTTTTTCCCTTACGTAAAACCTGAGT